TCAGGAACATTAAAATCTTTAGAAATTTATAATTATGGCTGCTAGTGAACACAAATGCCATTTGCATACAGCACAACTGAATATGTGGACTGACAGTGCCATTGCATGGAACATTTACAATTATAAAATAAACACAATGAAACCCTTGCACGGATTGGTCTAGAGCTGTGTTTGCATTAGCCAATGCAAAACACATCTGAGCTCAACCAATCAAATCATTCATAACAGTCAATCAGTCAAAGAGAATTTGCAAATCGATCATGAATATATTTTTGAGGAAAAATTAAAACGCTTACTTTAAATTTGTCTGTTTTGCATTATTGTTCATTTATTAAAGAAATTAAAGATTTTTTTCGTGTTTGCACTGGCTTATGCAAACCTCGGAGACGTTTGTGAGAACTCTTGAGCAGGTGCAACCTTGGACCTTAGGTAACGGGCTTGCACTGATCTGCTCTCAAGTTCTGCCAAAGGTCTCCTCGGTTCGCATAAGCCTGTGCAAACGCATTAAACATCTTTTATTTCTTAAATGTAGAGTCTACTTTGTAGCATTTTGTGTGAAATGTTGCTAAGTTCATCCATCATTTGTATGATGACTCTTAGTCAAACCTTGCAAAGACTTGGAAGTGTTGGCTGTCACCTCAAAAACATCCCTACCTGTTATCATCCAGGAATCTCGTGGAAAAGGCATATTGATATTATCAACAGTAACTGAGCTGATCTCTAGTATTGCACTGAATGGAAGTACAGACAACAGCATTGAAAAATTAATGAAAATCCTATTGTGTCATCTTGGTATGATGTGTGAAGATGTCCCAGAGTGTCCACTTACCCCTGCAATGTTATTGGTTGATCAACAGGTAAAGGCTCAACTCCATTTTTACATCTCTTTCTCCTTGGTTCAAATTACTCATGTATCAATTTCTGTTAGTCAATTGCTTATATGTAAGTAGTCCATTGTTAGTCTGGACAAAATAGTAAAAATAAGTTATTGGTCTTCAAGATACTCCATAAGTTCTCTACATAGTTACATACATATATAACCTTTGGAAGATCAAAATCATTACTTGGGAGGGGAGGCTCGTATTCATTAATGAATGATATTCAAATTTATGTATGTTCTAATGAAGTCCATTATTTTCTATGGATTATTACATTCATATATGAATATAAGTAACCTTTCAAATATCAATCTTTTAACAACCTTAGTATGTAGGTCTTCATGTACCATGGCTTTGTGTCTGGAGAAAACAATAATTTTGATCATATTACTATTGAGCTCATTCAGACCATAGTTTAATATTTCATTCATTTTAATACCTAGAACAAAGACCTCTTTCTGCGTTGTATACAAGACCTTACAACTGATAATTGTTTCCATGGTAACGGTGTGACAGTTTCATTCACTGAGGATCATGATGCCATCGCTACTGTTGACAATTTTCCAGTCATAACAAACCCCATTCCTGAAGGCTATAGTACTGTCAAATTTTCTCAATACAAAGAATTATTGAAAACGAAACATTTGGGTCACGTGATGATCTATACTGACGTCATCACATCCACACAAACCATCGTGAATGGGTAAGGAACAAGCTAAATTCGTGGTCTTAGTATTGCTCCAGTCTGAGTTTTCCCTTTGATACTGCAGTTGGATTGTGGGAATGTTCACATCATACATAGTTTTAACAAGATATCTTTCTAAATATATTACATGTTTTTTTTATTTAACCATTTTTCCTGCCCAAAGATTTTTCCCAAAAAAGGAAGGTTCGTTGTACTTTTTTAAAAAAAGGTTTCTTTGTTCCTTCTTTCGTGTTTTAAGATATTTTATCTCGTACAACTGTAGTGATTATTTTCTTCCCGGACAAATACCATAGAAATTTTTTTCAAGATTTTCGACAACAAGGAGAACTGTGGATGATCAAATGTACATACACCAATACGCATCAAAAAAGAAAAGAAATTCTTTTAAACCGTCCGAAGCCGAAAGAAACCATTATGTTTTCAATAAAGGGCCTCACTTTAGGAAGCTGATTTTCGGTTGTTTTCATGATAAATTCAAGTTCAAAATATACGTACAGTAACGTACTTGCATAACTTTATTTCAGAAGTCTGAGATTACTGAAAGAATTACCTCATGGTCTTGGAGTTGTTGTTATTGCAAGACAACAGACTGTCGGAAAAGGTTTGTAATATGTTTTTGAAATTTTCTTTTTGTATCATTGCAACATCTGATTAGTTTCCTTTGTCTTACATTTTTTTGTATTTCCCAAAAACCATCCACCAATTATTGCTGTTCTTTGGGAAATATATGTTTAAGTATAGTGGGAATGATGTTTCTCTGTAGGTCGAGGAGGAAACGCTTGGCTATCTCCGGATGGTTGTCTTTCATTTTCATTTCCTTTGGAAATTGAACTTAATTCTAATCTTGGTCAACGTCTTCCATTTGTACAACATATCGCAGCCCTAGCCATTGTTGATGCTGTGAGGGACATATCTGGATATCAGGTGATTTATTTTTGCGTTTTTCATGAGATATGTTTGAACATAATGCATGGAATAAAAGGATCTGCGAGGGATAATGGAGGATTTAAATTAAGAATTTACCGTTAAATCTTTCCTAAAGAAAACTGGTGTCTTCTGTAGTAAATGCGAATTCAAGTTTCAACATCAGATCATTTCTAATGAAGACACGAAACATGAGTATTTAAAGATGTAGATCGTCCAGGTTAGTGTAGTCCAGAGAAGGACTGTTTTACGTTTTAACAACCTTAGCGGTAGTCATCTTCAGAGTCAAAATGGCTACCGCTAAGGTTGTCGAAACGTCAGTCAACAACAACAAAAACAGTCCTTCTCAGGACCATACTAACCTGGACGATCTACATCTTCAAACATGTAACGATACTCCCGGGTTCAAACCATTTACTTTAGTTTTTAAAGAGTAGAGTTTCAACAACAAAATACTTTTGATGAAGATACTAGACTAAAAAGTACTAAAGTTTAAGTGTCAAATCATTCTTGACAAAGAGGTTAGACTGGAATATTCAAACTCAGGGAATGAAGTTTGGTGAAGGAAGATTTATGATTGAAGTATAGCACGCAACGCAAATTTATGAAACTCGTTCATAAGCAACCAAAGACAGTATAATAATTTCAGTCATATTCTTAGGATTTAGATTTCCGAATCAAATGGCCCAATGACATTTATTTTGGAAATAAGACGAAAATTGGTGGTATTCTGGTAAACTCTATTATTCAAGGAAGATGTCTTTGGGCTGTCATAGGTATTTGAACTTTTCACTTGTCTTTTTTTGTGTCCGATGTTAAAGTAGATGTGTGTATGACACGCAATATCTTCTTGTCGCAAATAAAAGAAAACTTTTGTCTTAAATGTGACTTTAAAATGTTTTGTCGTTTATTCTGCTCGTTTAACGCGTGTTTATTTTATGTGATGTTCAAAATGAATACTTTTTGCAACTCTTTTGTCTCATCAGCAGTTTCTAAACTGAGAGTGAACATAGAATTTATAGCATAACATCCATTTCATTGAGTTATGACTGCAGGCTAATCGTGGAAGAAAATTATAACATTTCAGCGTTATCAAAAATGTGATTTTTCTCAATCGCTGTCGGGACGTTTTCATCCAATTCTTTCTAAGACTTGTAAAAACATTTTCTCATACTAAATCCTTTCCATACTAAGCGTAAATGGTCTAAACACCCACAGTTGTAAATATGAGATCATTTGCAATGTTTTGAAATCTATTATTTATACAGTGACAGAGTAAACACCAAAAAAATGACTTTGCAGATCAAACTTGTTGGCTGGCTATGTAACAGATACTGCATTCTCCCACAATTTTTTTCTTTTCAAAACTTTCAATTTTAGGGATTGGAATAAATGTTGACAACCATCAGCCAACTACTTGTATTAACGAAATCATCGAGCAACACAAGCTATCGAAAAAAATCAGCAAAGAAGAGCTTCTTGCTAGAATTCTTAACAAAATGGAAGAACTCGTAGAAGACTTTCAGCTCAATGGACCGGAAATGTTCCTTCAAAAATACTACTCACGTTGGCTACACAGGTCAGTTTATGATTTTCTAGGACGATAAAAAACAGCTGAGCTTTGTAGAGCATAAAAAAATTCTTCCGCCGAGCTAAGATACAAGAAAAACTGCGGTTTCTGACTAAGCCGATTCTTGAATTTTTTATGACCCCTCAGCATCGAAAACTGTGGCGTAGCAAGCCGAACCTTTTACTCCAGATATGGAAAAATTGTTAGGTAGTTTCACTGATTGTATGAACAACTGAAGAAATGATTAATGATAAAGTGTAATAATTTGCAAAGTACGATTATATCTGCTGGCTGGCTACGCTACTGATTGATTTAGAAATTAGATTTAGTAAAGACAATCGCTTCGTCGCTTTGGTCTTTAAAAATTGAAAAATTGATATCAACCTTGTAGGGTATTTAGCTGGCGTAATCATCAATGAGAGTGTTCATCACAAAGAACAAAAGCAACGAGTTCGTGAATACGTAAATAATTTTACTTTTTCATCCCACTTTAGTGAGTCCAAAGTAAGACTGGATAATGAAGATGGTGAAATAGTTACAATCAAAGGTTTAGATGACATGGGTTTTCTCTGTGTAGTTAATGACTTGAATGAAGTTAAAACACTTCAACCTGATGGTAACAGTTTTGATATGATGAAAAACTTAATAACAGTTAAAACAAGAAAATAATTCAAGTAATTCAAATAAGGTGTTTAACCAGTATAATTGTTGGTGATGACAGGGGGGAGTGACTTGAAGGTGAGTGGCAGGGGGGGGTGCTATTTTCTTATACTCAAATTCACACACCACAGAAACTAACTTCAAAGTTTCAATGCATGCTACTTTGGAGGTGCAAAGTGCCAAAAATATTTTCTTATTGGCCATTCAAATACCTTAACAATATGATGAAACTACTGTTAAGCAAAATAAGTTACAATACTGGTTTGAATTTAATATTATTTGCCATATAAGTTAGAAAAAGTCTATCCATGTATGATGTGCTATTAATGTTATGTGAATCTCTATTTTATCAATTAATATTTCATTTTATAGTATATCTACGTATTGAACACATTATAATTTATAAATAAAAAGGTGTATTTATTAAATAAAGGCACTATGAATACTTTCTACTGACTGTCAATAAATATCTATAACATGAGCACAAAAGCTGTGTTAACTTAGCATAAACCTCTCACTAATTGTAACGTAAGTACTTTGTGTTAGAACTTTAAAATGCTCTATTTCTACAACATGGATGTAGCCAGCACAATAATTGTGGGGGACATATATGCATTTATGAATGTTATTGTAGGTAAAAATGGATTTCAAAGGAACATAATATGTAAGTGTATGCATATTGACCCCAACTATTGAGCTCCTACGTCTCTGCTCTATATTCTATAAAAAATGCAAATATTTTGACTTGCAAGTACACCATCATTCTCAAATGGACTGGTGATCAAACAACAAGATTTAGTGTTTCCCCATGTTGTACAGGTACATTAAATGCCGGAATGAGGAACTGCCACCAACTTTCACGTGAATGCCAGAACATGACTTGAAATCGACTTTTTTTGCTTTTAAAAATTCGCTTAACGATGAATTGTAGGAAATCTGTGAGATTCCGAGATCTCTGTAGTTTGGTGAGAAGTTCAATAGTTGAGCAATTGGTTGCCAGAAGCAAAGACTGCAACAGGAACATTGAACCACAAAACATTGCAATGAATACTACAGGGATAAACAAGATGGCAAAATCACCAAGCTTTTTGCAAACACCATTAGGGTACCATGGCAGTGTGTCCAAGCGATCTCCTGTAGGTACCATGCATTGGTAAAATGGTTCATATGTCATGTACATTGCAAATAGTAAACCAATGTTACTATAACAGATAAATAGGAAAAAATATGAATAATTCTTGAGGCCAACACAGTTGCTTGTAAATGGACAGTGATGACACATCATGGTAACGCATGTTCCACAAGTGCTGCAGTGGTGGGTATCAATTGATTTCATTCGATCGCATTTACAACAAAGGACGCTTCCTTCGTCCATTTTGAAACCGTTTTCCTCCATTTCGGACGCCGTTAACGGATATCCAGGAGACTTAAGCATCGCCGCGAAATAATTGAACGCGACATTTAACCAGAGATAGCAAGCTGTAGTGATTAAAATAATCCCTTCTCTAGACGTGTACGGTTTGTCAACTTTTACTGGAAGAAATATTAGGAAAAATAGCCCAATAGCTGATAGGACCATTAGGATAATGGGACTGACAAGAATGAAACGGATGGTTTGTCGAAATGCTTTGTGCTTTGCTAGACCTGGAAAAGCTTTCTGGATTGTGCTGATAATAAATGAAAATTGAATTATACCCACTCCGCCAGCTAACAACATCACAATTGCCATTTTTTGACAGAAATTCGACTTTTCACTTGACAATAAATATGGATGTGTTGTAAACAAAAAGAATTACTCAGTTTTATGTATACAGTTCAGTGACCCTTATTTTGTTTATGACATACACTTCATTTGCCTTCAGTTAAAAAGCAAATTTTCTTCAGCTAAGACGCAACCAAACATTTCAAATAACTTACTTAAATAATTCATAGGATTTGGACAAGCCAGTAGAGAGGGAGCTCGTTTTATGAAATCAAGTACTTGAGTTACTTGGGGGCACCTGTGACTTGCCTTAAACCCATGTCTTGAAACTACGCCTGAACATCGATCGTAGGAAAGCTATGGATATGTATGATCAATTAAGAGATTTCCTCAATCATCGAAGACAAGGGTTAAATTTCTACTGTTTTACACTCCTATAGATTTCAACTCGTTATATATATATTTTTTTCTTTTAAATTCAAAATTTTTTAGCGAAGCAGTCAAAATTTGAAGCACATCAGCACATGGCGAAGATTAACCAATGGCAACTATTGGCGCGTTGTGGTGTATGGAATAAATTTTGGCGGTAAACTCAAGTGGAATGTGGCATAAACATTTTCTAAATTGATGATTTGTTAGTTTGTCGGCAAAATAAAAATATGAAACGGAAAATCGACTGTGTGTCTAACTTCAATTACAAAAGGCGGCTACCAGCATTGGGCTTTCGCCATGTTCAATCTAATGAACGAATTTCAAATTTTAACAGCAAAAATAAAACAAATAATAAAGTACATGGTATTGATAAAAGTTGCAATGACAATAATTCTACAAATGTGCAGACAGATGATAAGTATTCCACGAAATGCATGTTGGATAGTGACAGTAGCGATGATTTGAACGTGCGCTCCGTGAAAAGCAAGAAAAATTACAAAAATTTGCCTCTTGGGGGAAACTGTGGTAAAGATAAAGATGTCCATGGTGATGGTGTTAGGACGGTGAGGTCGAAGATGGGTAAACTCACAAAGATGTTTGATGAGGATAGGAGATTGAAAACCAGAGGAAAAAATGGTAAAACTTTTAAATCATTGTTTATGAAGTCTAGACTAAACAATGCTATTAGTATGGGCATGATTTGTCGTTATGTTTTATGTGTGTTGGACTAACTGCAAATTTTATTTTCTTAATACCATTGCATAATAGCAGCATTTGTATTTGTGGCTACCTAACTCAATGAGTAATGAGAATTGTTATACCAGTATTGGTTTGTGATTTATTTATTGGCAAAGCTTTTTTTATTTGTTTGTGGTTTTGAATAATTTTATGTTTCATCATTAATGATAAAGTGATTTTATCTATTTCTTGTGTGTACTGTTGAATTATAAATTTGAATTTCGCATAGAATATCTTGTTAAGAAGAACAATTAAGCTTTTCAGATTGGATAAATGGAGTTTGTAGTTGTATATCATATGTTATTTAATAAATATGTATTTGAGTATGCTAAATGCAAGGTTTATGTGTTGTACTCGTGTATGGCTTATATCATTTATAAAAAACAATAAATAATATTTTTTTTGTTGATTTTTACAGAATGTGGTGAACCATTGTTGGTGGTTGTACGAAGTGGTAATCCTGGCAAGAAAAAGGATTGGGACAGAGTTGCGTTATTGGACAATGGTGACATGAAAGAAGAATTAGAGAATGGTAACAGGGCGGAGGAATTGGAGAATGGTTACAGGGTGGAGGAGTTGGAGAATGTTGACAGGGCAGAGGAGTTGGAGAATGGTGACAGGGCGGAGGAATTGGAGAATGGTGACAGGGCGGAGGAATTGGAGAATGGTGACAGAGCGGAGGAATTAGAGAATGGTGACAGGGCGGAGGAATTAGAGAATGGTGACAGGGCGGAGGAATTGGAGAATGGTGACAGGGTGGATGAATTAGAGAAAGGTGACAGTGCGGAGGAACTGGAGAATGATGGAATGGAAAATGATTATAGCAGTGATGAAGAAGAATTAGCAAGCTACTCCGAGCAAAAATCTATTATCAAATTTTTGAACTCAGCTAACATTAGCGATTTGTGTCGAGTAAAAGGATGTTCATTGGTTAAAGCAAAGAAACTTTGTCACTTACGTCCATTTGATTCATGGAATGATCTGGTATGAGGATTTTTTATCTAATGATGATTTTTATAATTGGAGAGGCATTAGAAATGTTGTCTTTCATCACTGAGATGATAAATTTGTTTTATCGTGACTTATTTTTAATTCATAGTATGACAATCACAATAAAACAAATGAAGTGACTACATGTTTATATTTTGCACAGTGTCCAAATGACCTTGCAAGGACTTCCACCAAACACAATGTACATAACAAATGTTCAAGTCTTTGCACAAAAGGCATTAAACCTGTTAATAATAAATTGTCTACAAACAAGCTAATATCTTAGCAAGTTAAGCTCTTATGGTAAACATTTCTCTGGAAAATTGTCATGTTTTACATCTGATTAAACTAAGAAGAATTTTAACTCAGTAAAAACCCCTTTAACTTTTTACCAAATCACAAGATCAAGAGTAGTTCAGTACTTTGAAAAATTAGAGAATCCATGACTTATACATACTCTAAATTCGACTGTTTTACAGATGGATAAAATATCACAGGCAAAGCACCTGACTATTGAGGTAAGAGATGATAAGGAAAGTCATGGAATCATTGACGTCACATTTTTTCTTTACGTCATATTTTTCTTTACGTCACCTTTCATTACGTCAGAAAATTTCTACCAGCGCTGTAATCACGATTTTTTTCTCAAAACGATTCACAGGAAATATTTTTGTATCTCGCTGGAAATTTTTGTAAAGCAGACTTAGAATAGAGAAGACGGGCATCGTAGTCTGTATTTTTAAAGTAAGCAGTGAATTTACGAATTTGCTGCCTGGCAACCGCCAATTGCAATGCGCGAAGACTTGTTTTCAATAGTTATTAATGAAAAATTTTGCCGTAAAGATTTTATTTTTGAAATTTGTTGCTGGGAAGTGAAATGCTTTAAACAGGTCTGAACTATACCATGGAAAAACCCAGTCTCACATTAGAGAATGCGTTAAAAAAACGAATGGATAATTCATTCAAGAGAAAATTGAGGACTTGTGGGAAAGATTAATCTTTAAATTGCAGTGTGAGCTCTTGTTGATTAGAGAGGGGTCGTGGGGACTTGTGGTGTTTCGATTCCTAAGTCCCTCAATGACCCCTCGACCCTCGTTGTTATACCTTTGTATTGATATAAATAAGTCATAATTAGATTGTATCACTTGTTTCTATAAATGTCTCTCCCATTTCTTTATCTCAAACATTAAGTTAAATTCACACATCATACAACCGGAGCGTGTTTCTTCGTTGTACTTTAAGTTGAAATCAACGGCTGGTGATTAATTTTAATGTATGCGTTTCTTTATTTAACTTCAGCTTGCCTTGGAGTGTCTAAATGTATTAAAACAGCGAGAAAAGATGGAAGAACTAATAAAGAAAAGTGAATGTATCAGTAAAAGCATCGAAGGTCTCTTTGAAATGAAAAGATGTAATCAGGAGGTTTATGTCGCTACTTTATATTTCTCTTTCTCAAATATTTGCTTTTACAACGTAATTTTTCTGCTAAATGTTTACCAGCAAAAAAAAACACAAGTTTGTAGACAAGTGTTTCAATTTTATTTTTCGATGTAGCTGATTAGGTTCCAACCCTCATTCCATCCCGCTCATTTTCATTATATTTTCTTTATTGTAATGTTTCAGAATAACGGCAGTGACTCGACATCGTCCATGTTAGTTGTTAAAGAAAAATACGCTGTCTCTGAACCAAGTCTTGTGGCTTCTGGGTAATTTATATGTAGACTATGTTATGATATTTCAAAACACAGTTGTAGTTTCTTTTATATCTTAATATCAATTAATTTAGTACATACTCGCTCCCTTTTACAGAAATTATGTGAGAATATTAAGCTGATCAAGCTTAATGCGATTAGTAATTTGTGAAACGCCTTAATCTTGTTTTTCTTACACTTAAGCAATCATAATATATTAAGTCCTCTCACTCCTTAGTACGTCATAGAGCCACTTTATACTCAAGAAAGACCTTCCGCCTCAATTGTAAAACGGATTGGTGCAAATTAATGAAACCTCTATTTTTTTCAATTTTACTAGGTTTAAACTCAAGTCTTATCAACTAACCGGTCTGAACTGGCTTATTGCGTTACACAAACGAGATGTTAATGGAATTTTAGCTGATGAAATGGTATTTGTTCTCCTCTGTATTTTTCACTCTGCTTCCACGTTTTGTCACCCATTGTCTTTTCTTATCAATGATCTTCTCTTATAGGGATTGGGTAAAACTATACAGGCAATTGTCTTTCTAGCGTATCTAATCGAGCAGAACGAAGGACCTCATCTCATTGTAGTACCATCTTCAACACTTGGTGAGTTATAAGATAAAAAGTTTATATGTTGTGCCTAAATAACCACAAGACTTAGGGCCTGTTCATATGGAGCCGAGTTACCCGGCTAGGCGAGTAACTCGGCCCTTATATAAAATGAATGCATTTCCCGGTGAATCGTTTATATGACACATCCGAGTAACTCGCCTTGCCGGGTAACTCGGTTTGTGTAAGCGAGTTACCCGGCCAGGCGGGATGAATTTTTCCATATAAACGCATTTGCCGGGTAACTCGGCGAGGCGAAAAAATTGGCTCTGTTGGTACGCATGCGTACTAAGCCTTGTACTTGCAGCATTATTATACAAAAACATACACATATCATAATTTTCAATTTTATATTAACCCATTTCATTTTTGCTGCGAAACTGTTAGGCTTTTTAAAATCTTGCGCCTTTACTCGAAGTTAGCATAGCCAAACTTCATTTAAGAAAATTGAACGGAAGTACTAGCCGAGTTACCCGGTAACATATAAACAGATAACTTTTTCAAACCCGGTTGAGCGAGTAACTCGCTTAGCCAGGTAACTCGGCTCCATATAAACAGGCCCTTAGCTAGGATCATTTACACATATAGCGGTCTTTTTGTTGTATTACCAAAAGTTCCATTTTCCACCCATTTGTGACAAATAAGGTTGAAGTGTGTAGAATTTACAACCCGGAAGTAAAGGGCTTCCTGTCATAGTTTGGCTCTCCCTCCCCTGAATCTATTTTTTATTTGTTGTAATGGCTTACGGTGAAACATAAAATCGACAAAAATATTGGTGGGTATTACGCACTTCTAAAACGTCATTTTTTCTTCCTGAACTGATCGCAGATAATTGGAAAAGAGAACTGGAGCGTTGGTGTCCTTCAATCACGTGTTTACTTTATTACGGTAAGATTTGATTTGTATAACTGTATAAACGACTGGAGACCAGAAAGCTTTACACGAGGTCAGCAATGAAGCTGAACACACGAGTAAAATATCATTCTTTACTTCAATGGGTGAAAGAAAACGAACTTTCGCACATCGGTTGATATTTTGCCTGATTTCAACCAGGCTGTTAGACTTCTTCTAATTACCATATCATTTTTTCTTTACAGGGTCGCAGGCCGAGAGAAGAGCATTTAGAGACAAAGTGCTGTATTCCGAACGCAAATTTCAGATACTGCTTACAACGTTAGTACACAGTGGGTTGTTGGAGTATAATATTGACTGACGACGTTAGTACACATGGGGTTGTTGGAGTATATTAATAATTGACATCGTTAGTACACATGGGGTTGTTGGAGTATATTATCAACTGACAACGTTAGTGAACATATACCGTTTCCAAAGCACACAGTTAGACTGGCAACGTTGGTACACCTAAAGAGGGCGGGTTGTTAAAGTATATAATTGCGATTGCTATGCTGAATTATCGATTGTAATGCTTTCTCTTTTTTTTCTCTTTTTTATTCAGTTACAACATGGGAGTAAGTTCAACATTTGACTCAAATTTTCTAAGGAAATTGAAATTTCATTACGCTGTTTTTGATGAAGCACACATGCTGAAAAACATGGATTGGTCATGTGGTCATGTCTTCAGAGTCAAATGAGGAGTAAACGTCAGGTTAGCCGTATTGAAGGAGTAAAGAGTAAGAACCAGATAACAAATACGGCTAACCTGACGTTTACTCCTCATTTGACTCTGAAGATGACTACCGCTAAGGTTGTCGAAACGTCAGTCAACATCAACACCAACAGTTCTTCTCAGGACTCTACCAAATTGGACGATCTTCATCCACAAACATGGACCACCCCTATTTAGTTAACCTTGTCATATCAAAAATAAAATTTAGTACAATAAGAGATCAAGAGTACATAGAACTTAATAATACATTATTACATCAAATTTAAAGCTTTTATCGTCATGACATAAAAGGTGCATATTATTTGTCAGTCACATGAACATTACACGTCACTACAACCAACATCAATGGCATTTTATAAAGCGCAATTGCCATGGTGAAAGGCAAAAATTATAGAGTTCTCAAAAGTTCTGAAAATCAAGAGAAACCCAAGAGCTCTAAACTCTAGAAATTTTTTGGCCATTCACCATGGCGATTGCGCTTTATTTGTCACCCCGACGAATTCACTGTACATAATGTCACTTAAAAGTTATAGTGTTATTTATATTTATCGTGCAAATGATATGAGGGAACTTGACAAGAAGCTACAAAAACTTTAATCGTGAAATTTCATTTTCGTGTATTTTAATGTGAAGAAAAAACAGATCGAGGATTCTCCGTATGAACAGGAAACAGTTGATCAAGTGAAGCGTATAATGGCACCATTTGTTTTACGACGATTGAAAAATGATGTAAGTTGATTTCTATTTATATTATGTTATATTCTTTCAGTCTTTGTAAAAGTGTCTCCGTCTTTTCGATTCTTCAGGTACTTTATGACTCTCTACCTACCATAACATGACTACTGTTTTTTTGTTCTTCAGGTTCTTTGTGACTCTCTTCCTCCCAAAACATGACCACTGTTTTCGATTCTTCAGGTTTTTTGTGACTCTCTTCCTCCCAAAACATTACCACTGTTTTCTATTTCTCAGGTTCTTTGTGACTCTCTTCCTCCCAAAACATGACCACTGTTTTTGTTCTTCAGGTTCTTTGTGACTCTCTTCCTCCCAAAACATGACCACTGTTTTTTTGTTCTTCAGGTTCTTTGTGACTCTCTTCCTCCCAAAAATTACCACTGTTTTCTATTTCTCAGGTTCTTTGTGACTCTCTTCCTCCGAAAACATGACCACTGTTTTCTATTTCTCAGGTTCTTTGTGACTCTCTTCCTCCCAAAACATGACCACTGTTTTCTATTTCTCAGGTTCTTTGTGACTCTCTTCCTCCCAAAATCTGACTACTGTTTTCTGTTCTTCAGGTTCTTTGTGACTCACTTCCTACCATAACATGACCACTGTTTTCTGTTCTTCATGCTCTTTGTGACTCTCTTCCTACCATAGCATGACCACTTTTTCTATTTCTCAGGTTCTTTGTGACTCTCTTCCTACCATAACATGACCACTGTTTTCTATTTCTCAGGTTCTTTGTTACTCTCTTCCTACCATAACATGACCACCTTTTTTCTGTTCTTTAGGTTCTTTGTGACTCTCTTCCTCCCAAAACATGACCACTGTTTTCGATTCTTCAGGTTCTTTGTGACTCTCTTCCTACCATAACATGACCACTGTTTTCTATTTCTCAGGTGCTAGGTAACTCCCTTCCCCCGAAACATGACCATGTTATCGAATGTGAGCTCACTCCGCGACAAAGAACTGTGTATGACAACGCATACACTGAACTTCGTAAGAGTCTGGAGTTGGGAGAGGCATTTTCAGGTAACGTATATGTATGTGATTCATTTCATGAAATGCAAAATTCTGCATTTGATTATACTACGGTTCACATCTGTCATAGTTGTCTTCATAGTCCACTATATTCATGTTCTTATTTGACCAGGTAATTATGATATCTTGAATATCTTTGTGTACTCGCGTGTACTTTTTCATACCGTAGTGTACTAAGTTGTACTCAATGTACCATCATGCATCAATTAGTAGTACTCTCAGGAGGCCATTCATAACATTGTGTACTTTGATGTACCCTAATCTTGCCCTAAAATTATACTATTATTTTCTACAATTGCAGGCAGTAGCGGTTTAGGTTGTCTTACTGAGTTACGAAAAGCTGCAAATCACTCCCTTCTCCTTAGATCCCATTACAATGATGAGATTCTGCATAAAATGGCTGTAAAATATTGCAAGGTAGCCTTTAACAAGTGTCCTGTTGATTGTTCGTTTTGTTCATTTGTCTCATTTCGATAGATCTTTCCCACAGGATCCATGTCATCGCGATTCTGAAGTGAAATTTGTTTTCGAAGATCTACAAGTTATGTCAGATTTCGAAATCAGCAGATTTTGTCGCACAGAACGGGTAAGTCAAAACCTACCATATTTAACCTGATTAACCATTGTTAAACCAAAATAAAGATGGCGATAACATTAAATGACACGATGCACTGCGGCAGACTTCTCCTCAGGGGTCTCGTCTGCTTTGATGAAACCAAATATCTACTTCTAGTCTTCTATTTATAACATTGAACGACACGATGCACTGCGGCAGACTTCTCGTCAGGGGTCACGTCTGCTTTCATGAAAACCAAATATCTACTTCTAGTCTTCTATTTATAACATTGAACGACACGATGCACTGCGGCAGACTTCTCGTCAGGGGTCACGTCTGCTTTCATGAAACCAAATATCTACTTCTAGTCTTCTATTTATAACATTGAATGACACGATGCACTGCGGCAGACTTCTCGTCAGGGGTCACGTCTGCTTTCATGAAAACCAAATATCTACTTCTAGTCTTCTATTTATAACATTGAATGACACGATGCACTGCGGCAGACTTCTCGTCAGGGGTCACGTCTGCTTTCATGAAAACCAAATATCTACTTCTAGTCTTCTATTTATAACATTGAACGACACGATGCACTGCGGCAGACTTCTCGTCAGGGTCACGTCTGCTTTCATGAAAACCAAATATCTACTTCTAGTCTTCTATTTATAACATTGAATGACACGATGCACTGCGGCAGACTTCTCGTCAGGGGTCACGTCTGCTTTCATGAAAACCAAATATCTACTTCTAGTCTTCTATTTGTAACATTGAATGACACGATGCACTGCGGCAGACTTCTCGTCAGGTGTCACGTCTGCTTTCATGAAAACCAAATATCTACTTCTAGTTTTCTATTTATAACGAAGACAAGAAACAATGACATCAACCCCTATACTGGATATTGACGTTTAAAATATGAACGTATCAGGGAGAGCCCAAGTTCGGAATAGCTTCTAGTAAATTGAGAAAAGAAGACATGTATTTTGAATTTTAAATGCCTGGTCACCATTAAAGAAGTTTGACATCACATAATAATGAAAAAGTGTAGTATTCCTTGAACTTGTATTATCTAAAACATATTGCAGATCCTTGTAATTCAGCTTTCGGTCTTTTGAACGATTTGCCGTGAAGTTGAACTTTGAGTTTCGAATCAAACTAGCACACTACAGCTATTTATTTTGTTTATTTCTTGTCGACCTATTCGGACGTCTCTGTCAGTTTTAGGTTCATCTGTAACTAGGGTCGCTACATACAACAAAAAATAACCTATGGCAGTGCTTCGTGCATTGACATTATCTGTATAAAGTCGGGACTTTAAATTCTTTATCATGTAATATATTGATATAAAACATGATAATATACATTCATGCTAATTCTTATCTATAAAAGAAACCCGTAGTCGTGTACATAGGTAGTAGTCTGACTGACAGAGTCAGCGACGTATCGAGAAAAATAAAGAATATTACATGGTGTCAGGAGTAGGATCGCAATAATAAACGATATGAAAGGACCAAGCGAACTCAGCGCGATTACTTTGTTGTAAATTTAGTTCTTACTTTGTTGTAAATTTGTAATTTTAGTATTCATCTTCTAAAAATGCCTCACACGGCTGAAATTGTCCTCGTCACCTTCAACTTTCAAATTTCAATACAACTTGCCATCTTATTTTTCAGTCGTTATAAAGCCAAAAAACAGAGCTTCAGGGTTAAAACTCTCTACCGGTTTTCCTCTACATGTCATAAAAATTTTTCCTCAATGAGAAGTTTGTAAAAGGAATGAAAACGCGAAAACTGTGATTTTGTAATACAAAAGTATAGTAAAGTGGGACCGATACCCCCCATGAAGCCAGTAGCAATGATCGATCTTCCGGCTTCATTTTTTTGCAAGAGATGCATTATCCAGTCTAATATACATATCAGGCAATACGATTTCTCACTGCAATTTTATAAGGGTAGGGTAAAACGCGGAAACGGAATGGCTGAAGTGGAAAGACGGAAGAGGAATGGCTGAAGCGGAATAGGGGGTAAAACGCGGAATAGAGAGTTATAAAATGCTGTATATGGTTAAATAATTATTTGCCACCATATACATATGGATTGTCCAGTTTTAGATATTGAGCGCATGTGAAAGCTAACAAAAATGAAAATTCATTCCGTGCGTACTTGCAAATTGCAATTGACTCGCTAATCATAGGAGGCATAGTCTTCACAAAACGTTGTAAATAATTCATGAAAATAGTCATAACTAAAAAGCTCAGGATATAAGACAAAAGCAAGCTTAGGAGGCGATCACCAATTTCAATTATATTTCGTTCGTGCATACGGTACGAAAAACTTAAACTTAATAAGAGCAGTATACTTGTATTTAATCAGATTAGTGTATTTACCGTAATTTATTTATTGCTTGATTCATTTCGCTCACGGCACAAAGCAAATGAGCAAATTTCGCTTTCCAGTCTTTTACAATTTACAAATATTTTTTGTGCGAATTTACATGATCTCAAATGACAGCAAATACTCACACAATATACCAATCAAATATATGAGCAGGAAATACAATTAATTATTTTCAGATACTTGCAATGTGTTAAGTATTTTTCTTCAAAAAATGAAACATTGTTTGCAGGACACAAAATACTTGGAATGTATATTCTTTTGAAGAAGATACTGGAAAATGTAACAACAAATATCAAAACCGGTTGTATATTATTTTAACCAGTACAAGTTACGTAAGTGTGTTAATTTATTTAAATGGACGACATTTCATTCACTTTATCAACTGTTTTAAAAAATAAGTTTTTGCCAATTTTTCATGTAAATAAAACACACTTATTCACAAGTTGGATCTCTTTTCTTACCATTGAAAACATCGCACTTCCATTAAACACTTTATTGGTTATTATCAAACCAACTTTGTTATTATAATGAAGTTGATGCTAATTTAACCGCGAAAGTCTTTGTGCATATAATTATGCAAGCTTGAATATGTTCTTTGAGACAACAGGAGGTTAGAACATGCATTTTCTCTGTTGTAAACACAAAAATCTGTCACTAGCGTTGTGAGAATGCATTATTCGGGTAATGTGTTTATTAGTATACGTCGAAAAAATAAATACTACATTCAACGTTAATTACAATATCTACTCGGATGTAACGAAGACCAGATTAAAAAGATTTTCCTGTTGTAAAATTCAGATCCCATACGTTTAAAAATAAAACACTTTGTTGCTGGGGAAAAGCAACTTTCAAATCGTGGGAAAGTGCAAGTCATACTTAAAATCTATACTTATGTATATTTATAACTATTTACCATATACAGCATTTATTACTCTCTATTCCGCTTGTGCCATTCCGCCATTCTGTTTCCGCGTTTTACCCCTACCCAATTTTACGACGGAAACTCTCTTTTTTGTTGAGAAATTCTTGTTTAAGACTGAAACCACAGTCATTTGTCCGTTTGTCAAATGTACTAGGCAAATATACAGGACGAATAAAAACGAAGAACTTTACCTATCTTTATAATTTCAATGCTCTGTCCTAACCTTTTTCTACGACAGGATAAAACTTCGTCATCTAAATGCATTTATTACATATCTTTGTTATGTAAAAAGTTTTGTTTGCCTTGGAATTTGACCTCTAAAACCAAAATATAAAAAATAATGTAACTGTAGAATTAGCTAAGTGATCAGGAATTGAAATTTTAACAACAGGATGGTTTCTAAAGGTTTCTTTGTACACCAAATAGTTCTGAAACAAATATCAAATTACATCTCCTCTTGGAGCAATGCCTGTAAAGTTTTTACCAGTATTGCGGTTTTTGTAAGTGGAAAATGTAACACTTATACATTGTAGATTTTTATATGCACGACAAAGATAGTCATAAAATGTTTTACACATCACGTCACACGAGTAAAAAAATTATGAAAAACTTCGTTTATCACTCTTAATATACTTATATGGTCTACAGAAAAGCTGCATCGATTGATTTTTCTTTTTAGATCTGATATTTCTCGGCTCTTGTTATTATAATTTCATGAAAGTTTATTACCAACTTCTCAAGTTCTCAAATTTTGTCCTATAAATAATCATTTGCTAAGGTGTACCAGCTTTTCCACTATAAAGCATGCATGCACTAAAAACACGTGTCTTTCACCCCCTGCATAATTTTTATGTTCAAACAACTGTATACATGCCCCAGACAATACAATGGAGCTCAGCTTTTGGTCAGACAATTTAGTGAAATTAAGGTTCTGGAATTTAACTAATATTACTATCACGTGTTGGAATGCAGAAACTTGTTCTACCCGCTGATATGTTAAGGAAAAAAGCTCCTGTGTCTATCTTTCCCGGATGAAGTACTCAGATCATAATCCATCATAGTATTTAAATTTACAGCTTAATTCTTTATTTTCATTCTTAACAAATTAATCCTTATGGCCTGCTAGGATGAATAGAATAATATTTGGAATCTTAACAACTAAATTTTAAAATTTTGCACTAATGAACTCTACAATCTAGCTAGTTTTAAAAGTCATGTTTTTGTTACAATAGAGACAGTGTTTTTGTTTGACAATTTTACAAAAAAACACATTCGAGGTCAGTGGCGGATCTAGGGTTGGTCAAAATGAATTATTGTCGCACATTTTGGAATATATTTAAATTTCTTAGCCCCTGAGAGACAAGTCCATTGGTGCATTTATATTCTTTAGAAATTCAAAACCAATAGTGCTTTTCTGAAAGTACTTTGAATTTAAAATTACGCAGCTTTACTATATTTTGCTCGCTGCTGCGTAATTTTACTATATTTTGCTCGCTGCTGCGTAATTTTACTATATTTTGCTCGCTGCTGCGTAATTTTACTATATTTTGCTTACTGGTCGAGATGTCTTAAACAGGTTTGAATGAAATACTTATAGTTTTGGTCAAAACAATTTTAGGTCCGTTTGGAAACATGAACTTCAATGCAATGTTTTGTCGAACGATGGGCGGGTGAAGTGCAGTTTTAAAAAATACATGTAAATCGTCAAAAGTGCAAATTTTTTGTTTCATTAACCCGAAACACTTAAAAAAATGTTAATCAACAATCGACGCACAATATAGGTAAAAATTACTAAAAACAAGCGTAAAAATGAGTGGAGCTAGCACAGTTGATTTCAAGTTTCCTAGATTTCTTCTATCTTTGTTTAAAATTGCCCGAATCTTTTCCAACTTCCGCCAAAAACTGCCCGACCTTCAATTTCTTAAAAAATTATGGAGATTGTGCAGTTCACACTAAAATGAGATCATTTCTTTATGCCAGCATGTAGCAATAGCATTTTTCTAAATTTAGATGCTTTAATGAATCATTTACTCCAAAGACTAAATAAGTAGTTTCGTCGCCTCGTTCATGAGCGAAAGCTCCGTACCCAAAAGCTATGTGAAAGTGTTATGTTTGTTTTCTTTTCTACAAAATATTGTGACTGTACCTTTTGCTCTTGTTTCACATTCATTGTCAGTTTTTTCACTTGAAGGACGAGGGCTGTTCTCTTTTTTTACTACTTCTAGGTCTGACAACCATCGAAATTGCGATTTCTTTGGTTCTGGTTTAAAGTCAAAGTAAGGAGAAGCTTTCCATCCAAAACTTTCGTCAATTTCTTTTCTTAAGGCATCTTCATCATTTTGTCTTTCAGCTGCCACAGTCACATACAAAGATAGATAGGGTTCCCATCGTACACCATATCCACCACAAATCCAAGAAAAACTAAATAATGTTATTCAATATAGTTAGTTATATAATAACGTTAAAATTTAAGCAATTTCATTGGTCAAAAAGACAGAGCAGTAAGCAGACCCGTGAACTCAATATTTAGATAACTGGAATGATACCTGAAGCCAAAAATTGAAACCAGAAAAAAATCTTTGTCGTCATCACTCGTCAGGCCTCTGGCCTTCATAATCATTTGTATTTTTGCATCTTGGGGCATCCACAGACTGGGTATTTTGTCGTCGACAACTTTTCGACTACATTTAATTGTCGACCACGAAAAGCCTTACTACTGCAAGTATTAGGTATTCTTCGCACATTTTTCTTCCGTTCGTTCGTTAAATCAAAGTTACAAAAAACTTTAATTTTAAAATTATCTTTCATGTTCATTAACCAAAAGCATGCGTGCGCATCTTAAAATTTTTATTATTCACTCCCCAAATTAAAAAATGTTCTAAATTGTGACGTCATATCCGAGAAAATTCTTAAACGGATAGACATCAAATCCAGGTGTTTTACACATTGAACTAAAATACATGGAACGCTATCTGTAATACAAAACCCTAATAGTGTGTTTTCAATCAATTATTACTCCGCGAGAGAATCTCAAAACACTACACACGCGTGTCTGGGGTAAAATCTCGCGTGTCTGGTGTAAGATTTGGCTTCAATTATTTGCGTCAGGTAGCGTTCCATGTATTTTAGTTCAATGGTTTTACAGTACATAGGTCGCGTAAAACACTGGCTCTAGTAAAATGGGAGTCAAAATTGTGTGCTGCAAAAGTTTTCTGATGTTATTTTGTCTTCCAAAACAAAACTTAAACGAAATTGATTAGTTATCGCTTGTTCATTCTCACAGCCAATCTCATATTTTAGCACGTGACTTAGGCTAGCCAAAAGCATTTCTTCAATCCTATAGACCAATTTTCCGAAAGTTTGAAAACAAAACAACTTGTTTGCCAATTAAATCTTGGGATTTTTTTAAACACAAAAAATAGATAACAATCAACCGAAGTCTGTTCAGCTATAGATACACGGGTATGACGTCATTTGTGATAAGAAAAAAGTGGCCACGAACCAGGATAACACGAACACCATGTATTCGATTTAAGTTCAATACAGTTGTATTGAACTAAAGTTGTTGAACTTACGTTGATGACGTTTTGACAACCTTAGCGGTAGTCATCTTTAGGGTCAAATGAGGGGTTAACGTCAGGTTAGCCGTATTTGTTATCTGATTCATGCGTCATCATATTGAGTGCATAGAAAAGGTGTGGGTGTGTCAATTGTGACTTGTCTTCGGGGATTAGTCTAAAGTTATGTGTTAATTGTTCGTTTTTTTGAGGTTGTGAATAAGTCGTTTGTATGGTGCTTGTAATTGTTTTGATATGTTTAGCGGGTTTTCTTGAGAACTGAAAATTTGTAATCTAAAGAGAGTGTTAGCCTTTTTGAATGGTTTTTACATATCCAAGGTATAGTTCTTAAAATTAATAATTACAGATGTTGTTTGTGAAAATGCAATGTGTCATTCTTTTCAAGTTGTGCTTAGTTTTTTTTGGAACAACAATGGTTATAGTCGTTTTCACCATTTTTAACACTCTTTAATCCAATATTTATAAGCAAGATACTTGATAAAGATTTATTGAGACAAACCTTTTTAATAAATCATGAACCTCGTCTCGAATACTGTAGTATTCATTCAAAAATTTTCCTCAAAAATATCGGCACTCTCTTCATCATCATCAGGGGTGCAACTGGTGTCTTCATTTCTGTGGTTGTATTAACTGTAAGAGTTGAATTTTTCATTGCTTTTGACGAAGAGTTGATGACTGCTGCTAAAATGAAAACAATCACAAAATGATATTATATTTCAAGATGATAAGCTGGTCGATGGTAGTGTGTTAGTTAAACATGAACCAATGTAGATTGAAGTGAATTCATTAAAAAATTTCACAAAGTAATATTTTGAGTTAAGTAAATACTAAATCTTATGCTGCATAATCCAAAAAGCAGGAAAGTGAAAAAAGCATTTGTTTTGCTTGTGATTAACCCAAATTTTAAACAAAACAAAACACAGTCTGTTGTTTATCTCTTTGCTGGGTACATTTTGAAGAAACACACTAACAAAATTGTTGTTAGTTGCCAAAGAAGCCTGTTTAGGGGGTATGTTTTTAAAAAATGTCATACATGAGTTATCTACGATATGCTAAGCAGTTGCATTATTTCATAACCAACAACCCTTAAATATAACTAGTGACTTTGTACCTAGGACTCATGATTTTAGTAGAAAGGGTTTTTTATGAACGTAGAAGCAGGGCATCAGGGGAGTGCCGCTTGTTCACAGCTACTTTGAATTTAATAAATTCTGATTTTATGATTGGAAACTTTAAACATATGAAATTGATTGATGGCAGAAAGTTAACAAATAAGTACAAATAACATAGACACTTAGGCTAGATATATTATGTCTTGTAAAAAATCTTTGTGTGCAAAGTCGATTTTGTAAAAAAATTTCCTTTGTTGTCCTACATATACCTCCAGTGCACATTAACCAAGGAGCCTGGATAGCGTTATCCACTGGATAGAAAATTTTTCTGAACTTTCATAAAATCTCTTATAAGTGAAAAATGTACGATTTGAACTGTGCAATCATTGAAATAAAACATTGTTTCCAAGATTACAAAATTTCTTTGTCCTAAGAAAAATATAAACACCTTTTTTACAAGTTTGAAAATTTTTGCTATCCAACGGATAACGCTATCCAGGCTTTTTGCAACAGGCCCCAGGTAGTTGTAAACTCGCAATAGACAAATTTCATCAAAATTCACCATCGTACAATCAAAAAAAACCCAGCTAAACCGACCACGTGCAATTGCAGCCGTAAACATACACAGTTACCATTCCTCAACAAATAATTCTGAAGTTTGAAAGCAGCAAATTTAGCGAGTTTCGTCAATAACCAAATTGTTTAAACAATCATATACATTACAAATAAATACGATAGTGGTATCTTAGCTCAGTCAATCATTTTTTTCAAAAAATTTATCAAGTGAAAAACTTTACATATAGAACAAAAATATGTTCATTCAATGTTTGTCAATATCACTACAATTTCAAAACATAAAACGTACCTCTATTTTATTAAAAATTGTGCACTTCTTTATCGAATATGGCAATATGGCGAACAACAGTTGAAGTATAAATTGCACTACTTCATCTTAGCAGACTCAAACATGTCCAGTGGACCAGTGCTAATTAGCACGGTATGGGGCAAGTGGTGGGTGCACGCAAGTTGCGCTGTTAGTAAATAAAAATTCTAAAATACACCCTATTACTAAACTATTTTCTTTTAAATAATAAACTCTTTTTATAGAGACTTATAAAACTCTTAAGAGATGAATGATTGTCTTCTGAAATGATCTTAGAATTTACATAGATGTCATATAAAATTACTCAGTGATTCAAGAAAGTCAAGTTAGGAGGTTCTCTCACTCGTGTTTGAGAGAGTATTTTAGACTGTATACCAACTAAAGTTTCAGCATCAGATCAGATTACTTCTGATGAAGACACTAGACTGAAGTATATAAGAACTAAAGATTTAACATCAGATCGCTCTTGATGAATACACTAGACTGGAGTATAAAAGGACTCAAGTTTCAACATCAGATCACTCCTGATAAACACACTAGACTGAAGTATGTAAGAATTCTAGTTTCAACATAAGATCACTCCTGATGAAGACACTAGACTGGAGTATGCAAGAACTCAAGTTTCAACATCAGATCGCTCCTAATGAAGACACAAGACTAAAGTATGTAAGAACTCAAGTTTCAACATCAGATCACTCCTGATGAAGACACTGGACTGAAGTATGTAAGAACTCAAATTCAAACATGAGATCACTCCTGATGAAAACAGTTGACTGGAGTATATAAGAACTTAAGTTTCATGAGCAAGAAATTAATAAATGTGTTCAACCATATTACATTGTTTCCAGGTAAGGAACAAACTCTTGACAAAATGGACAAAGTTCGTGAATCACAGGAATCTTTAGCTCAACTACATTTTGAATTGGATGTTGATGAATCACTTCGGTAAGTAGGGGATTTTAAAACACAATTTTTGAAATAGATAGATAGATAGATGATTTATTTTTTCAAACTGGCAGCCATATTGCTGAAATACCTTTAAGATTACATAGAGTACATACATAAATAATAAAACTAAATTACATCTTCAATGAGTTATTAGTTATAAAACTGTTTCTAAAACGTTTGGTATTAAAATTAGTATTAAATGAAGATTGAGTCCTAAGTTCCATAGTTGAACGTTCTAAACGAGGAGGCGAAAGGTCGTAAATCTGTAAAATAAAAATCATGAATCATGAATTAAAAACACTTTTTTCATGTATTCACTATTCATATTGATTTAACTCAAACTGGTTTTAAATATCCATGGTTTGAGGTTCACTGTCAGTTTTGGGTTCAAAACATCACTATTTCATAAGCAATAAAATTATATACAAAATATAGAATTGCAAGTAAAAAATTTTAATGCAAAAATTCATTGGCTGTAATGTTTGCTCAGTGACTATAAAGTTTGTTCATTAATTGTGTAGAGCTTTCCACTGGCTGTAGAATTTGTTCAATGGTTTTAGAGCTCAGTGGTTGTAGAGTTTGTAAAATTTTGCTCATGTTTTTAGAAAAGAACACAAAGAAGTAGGAAGAAATCGTAATCTTGAAAAACTCATGAAAGATGTGAGTATTTTAAGGATTGTAACATTAGCAACCGTAGTTTAAAGTATTTCAAGAACAAATGTACGTACATATCAAGTCCTGGCAACTTTTTCCAAGTCTTCAGTTGAGTAGAAATCTTTAAAAGAACCGTCTTTAAACAAACGTTACTTGAGAGGGGGGAGAGTGTTTTCATTTATTCTGTTATGCCAGTTATGCCAGGCTGATTTCTTATGAAAGTGACATCGTTTTGAAAAGAAATTAGTGAAGCATGGTAGGATGTATGTTAAAATTCGCTTGACGCCATGCTTGAAAGATATAGAAATGAAAAAAGTTCATCAACGGTACTGCTCGACTGGTTTTCAGTCCTGAATTCTAATCAGTTGCCTTCCATTGCTGGCTCAGATCTGCTGTTAGCATGTAACAATAAATATAAATACATGGAACGCTACCTGTAATAGAAATGCCTATTAAAAAAATAAAGCCAAATTTTACATCCAGACACGCGATGATTTTGGCTTGTTTTTGTTTCATGGATGTGTTTTTCGTTGCGTGGAAAGACTGGTAACGACATCCATCATATTTGTTATTTTATGAAACTGCATCCACAGTTACTTACTTTTTCTCATTTTTGTGAGGAAAATGATACACATGTCATTCCTCTTGAGTTTTTTTGGTGTATCTGTGTGAAGTGTGAATGTCAATGGTTTAGTGGGTAGCCAGCCCGCATGTTTAGTCGTGCTATGTAAATATTCCTCTTTTTACTCACTGTATAAACAATATATTTCTAAAGAAGTAAATAACGACCATGTAAAATTTACCTGCGCAAAATAATATTTTCAAAGTGTTTTTTGAATGATTTTATGAGGTAAGAAATTAAGAATACAAAGACTTGTCAAGGCTAAAATATGTATTCTTTTTTATTTTCAACTTGAAAAGTTAAGCTTATCAATGTATCTTTTACGCTGCTGTTCAAGCATAAAGCTTCACTTCATATTAGTTTTTCTGCATTTAAAATCACTGGCATAGCCAGCCTGCAAGATTACCATTCTACTCATTTCAGAAAATCATTATTCAAGTCACTGCAATCAATGCTGGTGGTGCATCAATTTCTTTAAGCGCACATGTATGCGCATGCCTTGAAACAAGTTTTGGTTTCACCTCGTTGAATTATACTCTAAGTATACTAAACAGATACCTCTGGGGGGGGTGAAACCGTGATTTGTGGGTAGCGCCAGTCCTTTTAAAAACTATTCAAATATTATCACTGTAAGTTTTAAAAACCTCTTATTTCTTGGGGAGGAGGTGAGGAGGGTTGAAAATTTTCAATGTATACTTGGTTTTGACCAATCATTGGACAAAAGTGTAGGAGTAAGCGTTCCAGATGTATTTTAGTTCAATGGGTTACCGGAGATAACGTTTTAAGCAAGCGTTTAGTTTTTTATCTTCTGTTCTATTTTATCCATGACTAGTTATTGTCAGACAAAATCTTCATCAAAACGATCAAAGCTAAGTTAGGAATTGCTTTTTTTGTCCTTATAGTCCTTAAAAGAAGTTTGCTGCAACGTTTCGACATGAAACGTTATAAAAAGTGCGTAAAAATTGTGTATATTTGAAAATGAACATCAATGATCGAAACCTGAGGACAGTGGCTCTAATAAATTTATTGTTAAAATTCATAGATGGCAAAGAACTCAAAATGTGTAAAAACTTTACATGTACTGGTATTTGATGCAGTTGCAGTTCAGAACACAACAAAAATGTAACTTAGTGATTTATATACAGTATTGATTGTTTTCATTCATCAAACTTATGCAAACTCGAGTGTTTGAAAACGCATGAAAACAGGCAAAAAAAGTAATGATAACGAACAAGCTAACTTTTCTCTCTAGAACGGTAAAGATAAACTATGGTATACTTTTTGTATAAATGACGTGCCTAGTTTACGTTTTGCTTGTTGGCAGATTCGGTCGAGTGCTTTGAGACAAAACGAGCAACAGTGGTCAACCTCATTTGGGATCAATTAACCTGCCAAAAAAATGTAAATAAGGCAAGTCATCGATAGGCTAAAGAGTTTCAGCGAGCGAACAAGTTTCTCACTTGACTAAGCTGGTAATAAACAACGCACATCATTCTTATGTGACTGACGAATAGCTCCTTCATCGATAGTTATAAAAGGCATAAAACAGGCAACCACAGCTGACTCGCTGTTATGAATTTTAGGTTCTTAATTTGATTTTCATCAAAAAATTGCATGACAAATGCCAAATATTACACATACTTTTTCCTTGCTCCTTTCTTAAGAGGGCAGTGGAAAATTGTGAAATTTTTGGAAAAGCAGTCATTTTCGGTAAATCTTGGCGGAAGAGGACGAAATCCGCCAGAGCTTTTACAACATCCAATATCTAAATCCACGCTTGAGATAGCTGCTCCAAATATTAAAGAACTCAATGGTAACCACTAATTCTGACAATACAGGGACTGTCTAAAGTAAAACCAATATCTTTAACTGATGGAACGGGATTGACTTCTATACCAAGTTATAGAAGATGAGTAAATTTTTGGGTAAAGTGGTCAACAACAATGGATGCATATCTAATGAATAACTTTTTATAGTTTTTGAGATGGCTGTACGGCGTCCAGCTTTTATTTCTTTGAAAAATAAGGAGAGGAACTGTTTCGAATCTTCAGAAAAGATTCCGAAGAGCTCAGTGGGGCTTAAGTGAGTGTAATGGCCCATTGTCAAAACAAATACAAAATTAACTTGAGTTAAAAGGTGTTTATTCTCATTTCATATATATTTATTAAGCAAAAGTAGTTTCTCAACACAAAACTGTTACTAACTACATAATATAGTTAACTCTATATTATATAGGATACAAAATTTACATGGCTATGGCTATACCAACATATTGAATATTAGCAACATGATTTATACTGTTTACATTTATTTATGAATATGACTGCCAGAAATCTTTAACAATCTGTCCAAATATGACAGCTCTCGAAAATATGGGTGACATGGTCCCTACTATCAGTAATCAACTCTGTAGAGGACTTTGCATTAAGGATTGACTTCAAGTTGTTTATGAACCAGTTTCTAATTTAAACTCATCACTTATAAATCATTATTAATTTTCCAGCATCATTCTAGTATCGGACAAAGGCAGCCAAATTAGCGCTCATCTGACATAATTGTTATCTTAATTCATATTTTTAAATGTAAAATTAATACGAACAACTTACATTCTTAACTTCAAAACCTGTTTATATTAGATGTTAGTACTTTGTTTTCCACGCAATTTTGAATAAACATTCATTTGAATATTGACTCTTAAGTACTTCGTGTATTATTTATGCTTATGTAAGATCATTCTGATACAATTTTCACGAATCAATAGTTCAATTATGCTGAGGTCTTATGAAATTTTTAACTAATCTATCACACAGCTAAGTATAATTCTTTGAAGTACTTTCAATAAGAACGCGTTATATTTCATAACCAAAAGCCCTCCTTTATGGTTAGAAATAGATCCATTCTACCAGTATATCACGATCGATGTTCACTACAGGGGAAAGTTTACTAGGGTAAATGTCCCAGTAGTTATATAGTTATATAGTTCAAAATGCCCTGAAAGAGTTAGAATTTTATATACCAGAGTTTGCTTACTCCTAATTATTGCTTTTTCCTACGATTTTACTGGTAGTTGTATGAAAAGTTCCCTTTTCGAATACCCTTTGCACTTTTACATAATGACTAATTTTACATAAACACCGACAATACAATACTTAATCAAACATACAAAGCTAACCAAACAAAGTTGGGCTAAAAAGTTCATACTCAATTCTCAAATGGTGATTTGTGAAAGAGCGCAATTTCGAACAAAATTTCCAAGAGCTTGCACTTGCTTGCTTTTTTTATAAATGCATCAAGCAACATAAAATTCCAAAGACTATAAACACTATAATCTTTAAATATTTCAAAACTGTATCTTCGTTTGATCGATAATTTAGAGTTTAACACATACCAAAGTGCTGAAATTAGGTTAAGCTTTCTTAAGAACATCTCCAAACATATTATGACACTCCGGGTTCAAACTATTCACTTTAAATTTGTGTGTACATAATTGCTCTTTGATTAAACTTCATTTAAGTTAACATTAAGAACATTGCGCTCCGCTGTTGTTAGAATTTTTGATGAAATTTGTAGAATCATTGAGCCAACCATCTGTAACGACGTGGGGAGAATGGAATGAGAATATTGCGCAGTTTCATTTTCCAAAAGAGGTTTGTCAAATCAAGATCACTAAACTTGAGTCCGCGTGTTCTACACCCAGATAAGAAAATAAAAGAAGAAAGTCCATATTTTAAGATTATTAAGGTTGGTTAATATGTACTTTTATTGCTTGTGTTTAATACTTTATATCATTGTATGTATAACGCCAGTTGCAAATAATATATAAAATTCACAAGTGTATAATACACAAATACAGAAGTACACAAATAATAAATGAAATATTGAAAATTTTCTCATAAAGAGGTTTTTCCTAGCTATATTGTTTTATTGAAAAAAAATTAACGATAAAGTTCATTTTATGAAGAAATAAATATTTATCATTTTTAACAAAATATGATGGCGGAAGTTAGTTTCAAACCCGACATCGCATCTTACCAAATCCATAACACTTACACTAAACTACCGAAGCTTTTTTAAAGTTCTATTAATATCAAAATTTTTTTATTATTTAAGTTTTTCATAACACTACTGTAAATTATACAGCGTAGCAAAGTCCGTTTTCGCAGCAGTGAATAGAGTCGCTTTTTTAAAAAATGTCGAAAATGAGAACTATTGTGAACTTTAGTCGTACTTCTGAAGCTCAGAAGCTGGCAAGCAAAAGCCAAAAACTGTTTGCTTAAGAAGATCAATCTAAAAGAAACAGCTTGAAGTAAAGATAAGATACAAAATAACTTAGCTTAAACACGTATAAATTATTGTGTTCAACTGCGTTTACGCTCTTTATAGGATTGTCAGATTGTAAATGTCAGATTGTAAATGTCATCAAAGATGTGCTTTTTGAGACACCCTTTTTATAGCTAAAGTTGAAAAATGCTGACAGAGATTGAGCAAACGGAAATTAATTTTAGGTGACGCAATTTTCAATGTGGCTAATGACATTGAAAGAAGTATTCGGTGGGAAACTTGTTTGAGATTTTCAATCATTTTACAAATTGTTTTTACTCGAATTATCGTAAATAAGACGTAAAAAAGACACAAAAAGCCGGCTCATATCAAAGTATGGAAGACTTTATGACTTCCATACAAAATATTGAAAGCTTCTGCATTTATTAATGTACAATGAAACAATTTGACTTCAGTCTGAATAGTTCTTGATATCGTTCTTAACCTCATTGGCAATTTTCGACTATTTTCACATGATATTTAAAATGGGCATATGTGATGATAACACCATCAAAAAATCCCGCTTTTGTCAATGCTACGCAATTTGCATTGAATTGTTAACAGAAATTATGACGTTTTTGATTTGAACTACGATATCTGAATCAAATCCGACGTTTTAAACGCATTTCTTTTACTTCAAATTTACTTGGTGTTAATTTCAAGACGACATAATCAATTTTTCTTACATGGAAAATAACGAAAAAGAATCTCGATGATGTTTAAATATATCATGAAAATTCAAAAACATAGGAAATGAAATGTTGACCTTTTTGACAAACAATTTACGGTATGACATTCTTGATAAGAAGTTCTTTCTTGGAATAATGTGCTCATTTTAACTTCCGTTAAAATTTCTCCAAGTATTTCAAATCCATTTTGAACACGTCTTTGTAAATGATATTCGTTAACTTGAAAGTCTGAATTAATGCATGTTTCATGATCTTTGAACATAATAACAAATTCAAACAATTAGGAATGTTTTAAAAATTGATGAATTTGGAACTAGTTAGAATTCAATTGTACAATATAGAAAATTATAAAATTGGATATTATAAAGGGAGAAGTGTTATAATTCTATTTATTCAATATTCAAAGGACATCATTCAACAATCTACCTATCTTGGAGTACAAGTCGCCAAAATCGAGAGGCGTTTCAGCGAATTGCCACCGGAAATGACGGAAATTAAATCGAGTGTAGCAATACAAATGGACACGGCAATAGAATTACGGAATAAAATTGATGAGGTAGAAGCAAATAGTAACTGTCAAATTCAGTTTTTGTGCGGTCGCATTTCGTCATTAGAAGCTGAGACTACAAATCTTAAATCGTCAAATGAATTATTAGAAGAAAAGGTAAAATCATTGGAAGATAAAAATACGAAGCTTGAGGCAAAGGTGAAATCTTTGGAAAATGAAAATACGAGGAAATATGGTGAAAAAGAAAAAGAGAAGGAGTGGTGGGAAAGTTGGAGGCAGGAAGTGGAAAACATGATAAAAGGGGCGAATTAAGTAATAGTTTCGAAATACAAGTCAGATCTAATGTCCTTTTACACTTAATAAACTGCTTACTGTAGCTATACATTTAATTTATAATGTCAACGAAATGTTTTTAATCAACTCAAAAAATTTTGACAAAAAGATTGTCATAAATCCCGATCATACACCATAAATTTTAAAAATGTAACAAAGCAGAGACAAAACTTCATTATGCAACATCATTACCACTATTACAAAATAAAGAGTAAGTAATTAATAAACTAAAAAACTTCTTAAATGCATTACATGTAATAATAGAGCGGAAAAATTGATAACACTGTAAAGCACGTAAAGTTTGAACTTGCCTATTAAAAAAATGTTTTGCTGATGCAAAGATCAGTGGTTAAGACTTTTTCTTTTCTGTCTGAACTTTCACATTTTTATACTACACAAATTTGCAGCATGTTTTGCTTACAAACTATGTTCAAAAGATTTTGTGTTTGGAATCGTAGTTTTGCATACTCCCAAGGCCTTCCAGCTGAATTATCAAATCATAAAGCCGTCAAGACGTCTGATAGTTGATATATAATTCTTATATCAAACAAGACTTACCTGTAAGTTGATGTTTGATTGGAATTCCACTAGTCATCAGACAAGAACGAAAAAGTCACATGAGAAGCGCGCGCGCGTCGCTTTTGACTCTGAATATGACTACTGCTAAGGTTGTCGAAACGTCAGTCAACAACAAAGCATTCTCCCAAGGCCTTCCAGTTGACTTAATAAATCATAAAGCGTTTGTATAGAGCAATCATTCTAGTCGATGTTACCACTCAATGGTTCTGTATAACTGGATCAGCTGACACCAAAAGAATGGCAAAATTGAACTATTTCTCCCTGGAAATAACTCACTCCCCCTAAAAAGAGGGCAACAAGGAAGTGTTTGAGCAACAAACATTTAACAAGAAAATTTTGCTAAAATTTTCGGTGAAAACCAAATATTTATTGATCACGAGGAATAGCAAACAAAAAAGTTTTGAAACTGAAGCCCTTAACATTATGACTGTATTTTTGCTATATTTCCTTAAAATTTCTCAAAGTTTATTCAAATTTTCCTATATTACATGCTTTTCGGATCACATGGTTTATGTAATAAGAAGTGAACCTCCCTGTCCTGACCTATACATTTGCATAACTGCTATTAGCTCTGGGTGGGCAAGGCAACTAGTACCCAAACAATCAAATTGCAACTGGCATCCTAAAAAGAGTTGTTTAACAACGATGAAAACAGAGGTATATACTCTGGTTATTTCTTATTCGAAGTTGTTCGTAAGCTGTGTGGAAAAAAATAAAATCTCGATATGGTATTTTTCTTTATATCTATATTTGTACAAAAAGAAAACAGTTGATGTTGTGCTATGTAATAAGTGCCACCCATATCTTATTATGCGCATGTGATTACCATAGTGGATATTCCCTATACATTGCTTCAGTGCATCGTTTATTCTAAAGACTGAATAAGCAGTCTTAACAGCTTTCTTATGTTCACAAACTCCATACCCAAGATCTTTCAGAAAAAGGAAGCTTACGTTCAATGTTGATAAGGCTATTGAAGGAAAAGCAAGTTTCATTTGTTTAGCTTCATTCTTGTGAGGAATATAAAACTATTCCTCGTCATCGGTGATATCTCCTATGGAAATTTTTTCGTACATTTGCTTCGCTTCTTTGTATTCGTTCGAGAAACTCAATTTTTCACCAGATACTCGACGTTTACTTTTACAACTAGTGTGAAAGCACGTAAAAGTAGTAATGTTCTTATACTTGCAGCACTATATCGTGACTGAAAATTTCGCTATTGTTTTATTGCAACTCTTTGATGAAATGCAGAAGCAGAATTTTATATCATTAACAGTTCACAACGGGAACTCTGCAAGCCCGGCTGATGAATGTATTGCCAATTATACCTGATAATTCAAGTTGTAATTATAAATTGTAATGTCACTTTTTTTGTAATTGGGTTTTATAGTAAACAAAAACCTAGGTACCTTGAAAATGAAAAGAGACATGCATAGACTGTTTTGGAAAGTCTAGTGTCATTTTGAAAATTTTATCTGATGAAAATATACTTGAAGTAACAAAATTGTTGTTTCACAACAACTTTAAGCAATCCACAAACGACTGTGTGCATACCTGCATGGTAAACAATTTATTGTTATTGTTTGGTATATACATGCTCGTTCGTAACATTTTAACAGGAAGAAGTCCATTTGAAACAACTCTACTCTCGCAATACAATAAAAGATGTGTGTGAATGGTATGTCTTCTACAACTGATTTCAGAATTTTTTACCTGAGACTTAATCTGTCAAAATTGTTTCTGCTGGTAGCCTTTGATGACTTTGTGAATTGATTTAAAAATGTTTTTATTTTCAGTTTTATGAACGTTACAATTAAACGTAGTTTATCATAAGGCCACAGTATAGGATGAAAACAGTCCTACCAACCTAAGGAATATTTTTGTGAAGTAATATTCTATTGCTCATGTAATTAACGTAATAAAGAAAGTAAATTCCATTGTCAGACCAGTAGAAACGCAAAGATGGCTAACAACACCCAGTATTGAATTTAATGAAAAATACACAAAGCACTGTAAAGCGAGACTACTGACTCCTGTTTGTTTTCTATACTGTGGTCAAAGCTACCACCATGTACGAACTGCGTACCTATTTTTTTAATTATCTGTTGACCTATTGAGATTTTTGAAGCTCCTCTGAGGTAGTTTTTTTTTAACGATATGGCGTCCTCACGTTCTGACATCAAACTTTTATCCCACTGTCATTTTCACGATAAGTCTTATTAGTAAAAATTCTATGTGTCCTAACTTTGTGTAACTATGTGTTTTAACTACGTACTTAAGATTTTGTTTACAGATCTGATTTCTTGAGCTGTCTTAGTAATGTCATGCCAAAAATGCAGTACCGTGTGCTTCATATTGCGAAAACATGCAAATATGACAGCTTCGAAAATAAGGGTGACATGGTCTCTACTGTCAGTAGTCAACTCTGTAGAGGACTTTGCATTAAGGATTGATCTCAAGTTGTTTATGAACCAATTTCTAATTTAAACTCATCACGTATAAATCATTATTAATTTTCCAGCATCATTCTAGTATCGGCAAACGTAGCCAAATTAGCGCTAATCTGACATAATTGTTATCTTAATTCATATTTTTGAATGTAAAATTTATAAGAACAACTTACCTATATAACTTCAAAATCTGTTTAGATTAGATGTTAGTACTTTGTCTTCCACGCATTTTTGAATGAACATTCCTTTGAATATTGACTATTATGTACTTCGTGTAATATTTATGTTTATGTAATATCATGCTGATACAATTTTCATGAGTCATAAGTTCATTTATGCTGAGGTCTTATGAAATTTTTAACTAATCTATCACACAGCTAAGTATATTTCTTCGAAGTAATTTCAATAATGTGTTATATTTCATAACCAAAAGCCCTCCTTTGTGGTTAGAAATAGATACATTCTACCAGTATATCACGATCAAAGTTCACTCAGGGGGAAAGTGTACTGAGTTAAATGTCCCCGTAGTTATATAGTTTAAAATGCCCTGAAAGAGCTAGTGTTTTTTATCCCAGAGATTGTTTAGTCCTAATTATTTTCTTTTTCTTACGATTTTACTGGCAGTTGTATGAAAACTTCCTTTCTCGAAAACCCTTTGACTTTTACCCAATGACTAATTTTACATAAGCATCGACAATACAATACTTAATCAAAAATACAACACAAACTAGCTAACCAAACAAAGCTAGGCTGAAAAGTTCGTACTCAATTCTCAATGGTGATTTGTGAAAGAGCGCAAATAAGCAAAAAACTTGCTTACCTTTTTTATAAATGCATCAAGCAACATAAAATTCCAAAGACTATAAACACTATAGGCTTTAAATCTTTCAAAACTGTGTCTTTGTTTGATTGAAAATATAGAGTTTAACTCATACTAAAGTGCTGAAGTTAGGTTAACTTTTTCTTACGGACATCTCCAAACATATTATAACACTCCGGGCTCAAACTATTCACTCTAAATTTGTGTGTGCATAATTGCTCTTTGATTAAACTTCATTTAAGTTAACACTAAGAGCATTGCGTTCCGCTGTTGTTGGAATTTTCGATGAAATATGTAGAATCATTGAATCAACCATCTGTAACGACGTGGGGAGATTGGAATGAGAATATTGCGCAGTTTCATTTTCCAAAAGAGGTTTGTCAAATCAAGATCACTAAACTTGAGTCTGCGTGTTCTGCACCCAAACAAGAAAATAAAAGAAGAAAGTCAAATTGTTGAAATTGTTAAGGTTGGTTAATTTATACATTTATTGCTTGTGTTTAATACTTTATACCATAGTTTGTATAACGCCAGTTGCAAATAATATATGAAATTCCCAAATATATAATACACAAATAATATGTACGCAAATACAGAAATACACAAATAATAAATGAAATACAGAAAATTTTCTCATAAAGAGGTTTTTCCTAGCTATATTGTTTTATTGAAAAAATATTCAAGTTAAAGTTCATTTTATGAAGAAATAAATATTTATCATTTTTAACAAAATATGATGGCGGAAGTTAGTTTCAAACCCGATATCGCATCTTATCAATTCCATAACACTTACACTAAACTACAAAAGCCTTTTAAAGTAGTAGTAATATCAAAATTTTTTCATTATTTAAGTTTTTCATAACACTGCTGTAAATTATACAGCCTACCAAAGTCCGTTTACGCAGCAGTGAATATAGACACTTTGTTAAAAAATGTCGAAAATGAGAACTATTGTGAACTTTACTCGTACTTCTGAAGCTCAGAGGCTGGCAAGGAAAAGCCAAAAAATGTTTGCTTAAAAAGATCAATCTAAAAGAAACAGCTT